TTCTTTCAGGTGGGGGTGAAGCAATGATGGGTAAAGGCGCTGCCACGCAATTGCTCGCTCATTCCACTGCTGGCGTAAAGCACTCTGCTCGTGGGAGTTTTCGACGGCCCTTCTGATGATGATGCCTTGGCCTACTCTTCTACATACCTTATTTTTTTCTGAATGGGCCCAAGGACTGATTTGTGGAAACTAACACACCCGATAAGGCGGTTTGATATGCACACACACTGGTTATGGAAATGAGCGAGTGGGTGGTTGTTTGGCGAGATGTTGGCTTCGCCAGCCTGTGTTGTGGTGACTTCACAACGGAGTTGTAGCAGTAACTCAAGTCTGTGCATGCGTGGTGGGTGGTGTGGGGGGGTAGGTACGGTGAGTGTTTGCAACGTGGTTAGTGCGCTCCGCTACGAACCCGCTTCCCGGCAGCCCTGGCCGGTTAAAGTGCGACGAGCGTCGGAGAGACGCGTCTGTGTGCGCGCGGCCGCGATTGTTTTTGCAACCGAGATCTGCGTCTGCATCTGCCGTGCCGAGCTTTACGGCGGTAGTCTCCCTCGGCGGCTTTTTGTGTTTTTTTTTTATAGCCTCGGGCCGAGTGAGTAAAGTGTGTCGGGCCTGGCGTGCGAGTGTGGGCGCGGCGTGTGCGGACGTCAACGACGGGGAGAAAAAGGTGGCCGGCGGGCAGAGGTCGCAACCGGGTACCCGATACCCGTACCCTACCCGATACCCGTACCCTACCCGATACCCGTACCCTACCCGCTACCCGTACCCTGCCCGCTACCCGTACCCTGCCCGATACCCGTACCCTACCCGATACCCGTACCCTACCCGATACCCGTACCCTACCCGATACCCGTACCCTACCCGATACCCGGCTACCCGTACCCTACCCGATACCCGTACCCTACCCGATACCCGTACCCTACCCGATACCCGTACCCTACCCGATACCCGTACCCTACCCGATACCCGTACCCTACCCGATACCCGTACCCTACCCGATACCCGTACCCTGCCCGATACCCGGCTACCCGTACCCCGGGTACGGGTACCCGTTTGCGACCCTGGTGCGGCCGGGTACGGGTAGGCCGTGAGTCACTGGTGAGTCACCATTTGTCACTCATTTCCCAACGTCTTGTCTCTTCTCACAATTCAAGTTCCTAGAATCAACCCACCCGTGCCTGCAACATGGCTTCATCCCAGAGGTCGCAATCAGGTACCCGATACCCGTACCCGTCTGGACGGGTGTAGGGTACGGGTAGGCCGGGTACGGGTACGGGTACCCGTTTGCGACCCTGGTGCGGCCGGGTACGGGTAAGGAATCAAAACCCGTTTGCGACCTCTGCTGGCGGGTGCTGTCTGAGTTGGTGATCGCTCGCAGCGCATGCCCCATCAGTCTGTATGCATCTGTGGGGGGTGGGGGGGGGGAAATTAGATATTTTTTTTTATGTTTACGTGGGTGTATGCGTGCGTTTCCCTGCATACATATATATAATCCCACCCTTTCATGACAACTCCCAACCATGGCCTCTGTGGTTAAGGTGTCTTGAGTAAATAATAGGAATGGTCGTAACGCCCTTCATTTACCCGGGACGGAATACTTGCCAAGTCCCCGGGACCTGGTCCTGCATTGGTGTAATAACCAGCAAACTGCACTTGCAATCAATGGGTCGCTGGGTTGGTGTCGCGGTGGCTAGGAGATGTTAACTACCTCGCCCGGTGTGCAGGAGGTCGTGGGATTGATCCCGACCCTGATTTAAAAGTATATAGCTCCGGTAGCTTCTTAATATTGGAAAGAAGAGCGTTCCAGACGGCCACGGAAGCACATCTGAAAGCTGCTGTTGCTGCTGCTGTTCCTGCTGCTGCTGCTGTTGCTGCTGCTGCAGCTGCTGCCGCTGCTGCTGCTGCTGACGCGCTGCTGCTGCTGTTGCTGCTGCTGCTGTTGTGTGCTGCTGCTGTTGCTGCTGTTGCTGCTGCTGTTGCTGCCGCTGCTGCTGCTGTTGCTGCTGCTACTGCTGCTACTGCTGCCGCTGACGCTGCTGCTGCTGTTGCTGCTGTTGCTGCTGCTGCTGCTTTTGCTGCTGCTGTTGTTGCTGCTGCTGCTGTTGCTGCTGCTGCTGCTGCCGCTGCTGCTGTTGCCGCTGCTGCTGCTGCCGCTGTTGCTGCTGCCGCTGCTGCCGCTGTTGCTGCCGCTGCTACTGTTGCTGCTGCTGCTGTTGCTGCTGTTGCCGCTGCTGCTGCTGCCGCTGTTGCTGCTGCCGCTGCTGCCGCTGTTGTGCTGCAGCTGCTGTTGCTGTTGCTGCTGCTGCTGTTGCTGCTGCTGCTGCTGTTGCTGCTGCTGCTGTTGCTGCTGTTGCTGCTGCTGTTGCTGCTGCTGCTGTTGCTGCTGCTGCTGCTGCTGTTGCTGCTGCTGCTGTTGCTGCTGCTGTTGCTGCTGCTGCTGTTGCTGCTGCTGGGTTGCTGCTGCTGTTGCTGCTGCTGCTGCTGCGCTGCTGCTGTGCCGCTGCTGCTGCTGCCGCTGTTGCTGCTGCAGCTGCTGTTGCTGTTGCTGCTACTGCTGCTGCCGCTGTTGCTGCTGCTGCTGCTGCCGCTGTTGCTGCTGCAGCTGCTGTTGCTGCTACTGCTGCTGTTGCTGCTGTTGCTGCTGTTGCTGCTGCTGCTGCCGCTGCTGTTGCTGCTGTTGCTGCTGTTGCTGCTGCTGCTGCTGTTGCTGCTGTTGCTGCTGTTGCTGCTGCTGCTGTTGCTGCTGTTGCTGCCGCTGTTGCTGCTGTTGCTGCTGTTGTTGCTGTGTGCTGCTGCGCTGTTGGCTGCTGCTGTTGCTGCTGTTGCTGTTGCTGCTGTTGCTGCTGCTGTTGCCGCTGCTGTGCAGTTGCTGCCACTGCTGCTGCGCTGCTGCTGCTGTTGCTGCCGCTGCGCTGCTGCTGCTGTTACTGTTGCTTTGCTGTTGCTGCTGTTGCTGCTGCAGCTGCTGTTGCTGCTGTTGATGTGTTGATGCTGCTGTTGCTGATGCTGCTGTTGCTGCTATTGCTGTGTTGCTGCTGCTGTTGCTGCTGCTGCTGTTGCTGGTTGTTTTGTTGCTGCTGCTGTTGCTGCTGCAGCTGCTGTTGCTGCTGTTGCTGTTGTTGCTGCTGCTGTTGCTGCTGCTGCTGCTGTGAGGATAACCAGAGGTCTGTGGCCGCCTCCACTCGTTCGCCGTGCGTGTGAAGCGGACACACCGTGTGACATCGGCGGCACGGCTCGGCTTCTGCGGCGGAACGCAAACAGCTGGGGGGGTGGGGGGGGGCGCCTTGTGAGCCACCACCACCGAGCTTTGCAAGAGCCCTGGCCGTGGCTGGTTTGTGCCTGCGGGAAAAAGGGGCCTCAAGAAGACAAAGTTGACGTGTCCCTCCCTCCCCCGGTCTCCCTCCGTGTGCGTTCCCTGGCCGAGCAGGCACGGCGTGCGGCCACCGTCATGTCGGACGGCACGGCGGACAGTCCCTCGGGGCTTCAGCGCCAGAAGCCGGCGGGGCTCACCATCAACATCCCTCCCCGGTGACGGACATAGACCGACTCCACGGTGAGCGATGCTTCAATTCCTCCGAGCGATATATGTTGGGATGTTTGTGCATTGGTGACTCTCCTAGAGCTCCGAGTGCCCCCCACTCCCCACTCCCCCCAGACGGGCCCCCCCCACTCCCCCACGGCCCCCCCCACCCCACTCCCCCACGGCCCCCCCCCCATCTCCCCCACGGACCCCCCTCCCACCCCCACTCCCCCACGGCCCCCCCCAAAGACATTCTACGACGTTGTTTTGTCGTTTGCCGCTACTGCTGTTGCTACAGCTGCTGCTGCTACTACTGCTGCCTGCTACTGCTGCTGCTGCTACTGCTGCTGCTGCTGCTGCTACTGCTCTACTACTGCTGCTGGCTGCTACTGCTGCTGCTACTACTGCTGCTGCTTGCTACTGCGCTACTACTGCTGGCGCTGCTGCTACTGCTGCTACTGCTGCTACTGCTGCTGCCTGTTGCTACTACTGCTACTGCTGCTGCTACTGCTGCTGTTGCTGCTACTGCTGCTGTTGCTGCTACTGCTGCTGCTGCTACTGCTGCTGCTACTGCTGCTACAGCTACTACTGCTGCTGCTGCTTGCTGCTGCTGTTGCTGCTACTGCTGCTGCTGCTACTGCTGCTGCTACTACTGCTACTGCTGCTGCTACTGCTAGTGCTGCTGTGCTGTTGCTGCTACTGCTGCTGCTGCTACAGCTGCTACTGCTGTTGCTGCTACTTGCTGCTGCTACTACTGCTACTACTGCTGCTGCTGCTGCTACTCTGCTACTGCTACTGCTACTGCTGCTACTTGCTGCTGTGCTGCTACTTGCTGCTGCTACTGCTGCTGCTACTGCTGCTGCTGCTACTGCTGCTGCTGCTGCTACTGCTGCTACTGCTGCTGTTGCTACTGCTGCTGCTGCTGCTGCCGCTACTGCTGCTGCCGCTACTGCTGCTGTTGCTACTGCTGTTGCTGCTGCTGCTGCTACTGCTGCTACTGCTGTTGCTAGCTCTTACTGCTGCTGTTGCTACTGCTGCTTGCTGCTGCTACTGCTGCTGCTGCCGCTACTGCTGCTGTTGCTACTGCTGTTGCTGCTGCTGCCGCTACTGCTACTGCTGCTGCTGCTGCCGCTACTGCTGCTGTTGCTCCTGCTGTTGCTGCTACTGCTGCTGCTACTACTGCCACTACTGCTGCTGCTGCTGCTACTACTGCTGCTTCTGCTAGTGCTGCTGCTGCTACTGCTGCTGCTACTACTGCTGCCGCTACTGCTGCTGCTACTACTGCTGCCGCTACTGCTGCTACTGCTGCTGCTACTACTGCTGCCGCTACTGCTGCTACTGCTGCTGCTGCTACTGCTGCTGCTGCTACAGCTGCTACTTGCTGTTGCTGCTACTGCTGTTGCTGCTACTGCTGCTGCTACTGCTGCTACTGCTGCTACTGCTGCTGCTACTGCTGCTACTGCTGCTGCTGCTACTGCTGCTGCTACTGCTACTGCTGCTACTGCTGCTGCTGCTACTGCTGCTACTGCTGCTGCTACTGCTACTGCTGCTACTGCTGCTGCTACTACTGCTGCTGCTGCTGCTGCTACGTAGATATCTTTGGCGCGAAGTACCCGGGGAACTGGCTAAACGGGATCATCATCCAAGTAACAAATCAACATAAACTAACAACTTAAAAATCTTTGGCCCCCTCCGGCAGACATGAGACATGTTGGGCCAGAGTAGAGGACGTGGTTTTTTTTATCTTTCTGCTATTATTTATTTTCTCGTCATATTTTAGTTTTTTTTTCAGCTGGCAATACCCCCGCTGAGATGTGTCTAGATTTTTTTTGGAAGCGCCGGCCTGCGTACAAATGAGTAGCTTATCACGTGGAAATTTATAGAGAAATTTAAAGCGTTATTAACCAGCTCAGACCCCGCTTGCTTGCCCATCGCCACATAAATCACCTCTTGCTGTAATAGCTCTCTCTCTCGCTCGTTCAGCAGTTCCGCTGCTGGATATTTTATTTCCTCCCGAGGACGACCGCTTGTGTTGCGATCGAAAACGTCGTGACGTATTATTTTGTTTTGTTTTTCTACCTACGTGACTTTACCAAAAGAACCAAGAGTATTGCAGCCACGTACTTAAAAGGCATGTTGTTTTCTCAATGCAGTGAGGAAAAACCGGAGAAAACCAGAGAGAATTCCACGCGATCACAGGGAGAACACGCAAACTCCACATGTACAGTCGGTGTCAGGATTGGGATCAAACTCACGACCTCCTGTATACCAGGCGAGGTGGTCAACATCTCCTAATGTCTGTGATGTAACCCACGACCTCCTGTAGACCAGGCGAGGTAGTCAACATCTCTCATGCTAATCTAACCCACGACCTCCTGTATACCAGGCGAGGTGGTCAACATCTCCCAGGATCTGGAGATCGAATCCACGACCTCCTGTAGGCCAAGCGAGGTAGTCAACATCTCCAATGTCTGTGATGGAACTCACGACCTCCTGTAGACCAGGCGAGGTAGTCAACATCTCTCAGGCTAATCGAACCCACGACCTCCTGTAGACCAGGCGAGGTAGTCAACATCTCTCAGGCTAATCGAACCCACGACCTCCTGTAGACCAGGCGAGGTAGTCAACATCTCTCAGGCTCATCGAACCCACGACCTCCTGTAGACCAGGCGAGGTAGTCAACATCTCTCAGGCTAATCGAACCCACACCCTCTTGTATACCAGGCGAGGTAATCAACATCTCTCATGCTAATGGAACCCACGACCTCCTGTAGACCAGGCAAGGTGGTCAACATCTCCCAGGGTCTGGGATGGAACCCACGACCTCCTGTATACCAGGCGAGGTAGTCAACATCTCTCATGCTAATCGAACCCACGACCTCCTGTAGACCAGGCGAGGTAGTTAACATCTCCTAGCCACCGTGTCGCGCCCCCACATTTACAGATTAGATTGCGACAACGTGTTACGACATCGGAGCAATGTCGTAAGTTTTGACCTCCGATGGTATTATTTCTCATAACTTCCGAGCGAATTACGGTTGTTGCCGTGGGCGCTTGTAAAGCTTGGGTGGTTCGTGAGTTAATTGTGTTGTGCTATCAGGATTGTGAAAGCGTGTTTTGGGTTCTGAACGTATGCGTGTAATGTCTGGAAGCACGTGTTTGGAGTTAGTCATCCTCCCACTCTTCCTCGGCATACCAGCACCCAGAGCATGTTATTGCATGGAAGCAACGTGACAATCTCTGTTTATGTTAAGATTTTTTTAGATTTGAAGCTTTCGTGACTGCAAGGATTCATATTCTTAGGTTTTTTCGGTAAAGTCACGTAGGTAAAACATTGAAATCACTTGATGCAGCAAATCTGGCTGTGACGGTCCCACCTGATGACGGAGACTTGTGTTGCCTCCGAAACGTCGTGATTTTTATTTTATTTTACTTTTATTAATTTCAATGTTTTACCTACGTGACTTTACCGAAAAAACCTAAGAATAAGATTGTTTTAGTTTGTTTTGTTACGAAACTCCCGAGCGAATCAAGAGTTTCTGTCGTGGGCGTTTGTGAAGTTTCGTGGAATCTTGACGGAGAGCGGTCGGGGTGCGTGGGCTGTGCTCCCCGCACGAGCACTCAAGTGTCTGTGTGCGATGTCACAAATGTTTTCGCTGTAACTTCCTTCATTTATTTTTCACGAAGGTCCTCAGCGGGAAATTCTTGTAAAACGGCCATAAACATATAAAACCAATCGATCAAACTCACCTCATTCAGACGCTGTCTTTCCGACAGACCTGTTCGCTGTCTCCCCGACAGACCTGTTCTTCACCTGAGGACGGCTGCTTGCGTTGTGGCCGAAACGTCGTGAGATTTGTATTTTGTTATGTTTTATTTTTAGTATTTTATTATTTCCCTTCGACGTGACTGTTCGGTAAGGTCACGTAGAAGGGAAATAATAAAATAATAAAAATCAAACAATAAAATTCTCAGAAAATTTTGGAAACATTTTCTTGCTGTGGCTTTCACACCTGATGATGATTGCTTGTGTTGCAGTCGAAACGTCGTGAGAATTTTTATTGTTTTATATTTTTATTATTTTATTATTTCCCTTCTACGTGACTTTACCGAAAGAACCAAGAAGATGAATTTTTGCAGTCACAAAATCTTTAAATCTAAATTTCACCCCTATAAGGTGGGCCATGTCTGTACCACTGTCTTTGTGTCTGTGGCCATGCCTCGCGTCAATATCTTTGCCGATGTCGGTAGCCATTCATCTCTGTCTTTGTGCACCAGCTGTGAATACTCTGCCTGTTTTTTTGTTGTTGCTACGAACGGTGTGACCATGTGCGGTGTTGTCCGTGTCATGGGCACCATGTCCATGTCGTTACCATTAGCCGCATGTCTGCGTGTGTTTTCTGTGGCGAGCGGCAGTGAAGGTTCGCGCGATGTGCTGCGAATCTGGCGACCAGAGTTCGATTCCCGCTGGTGTCTATGTATGCATGTGTAGTCTATCATGGGGCGCTGTGGTGGTGAGATGTTAACTTCCTCGCCTGGTGTACAGGAGGTTGTGGGTTCGATCCCGACCCAGACGCCTGCTGCTGTATATCTGGAGTTTGCGTGGCTCTCTCTCATCATCATCACGGTGGCTAGGAGATGTTAACTACCTCGCCTGGTGTACAGGAGGTCGTGGGTTCGATCCCGACCCAGACGCCTGCTGCTGTATATCTGGAGTTTGCGTGTCTCTCTCTCATCATCATCACGGTGGCTAGGAGATGTTGACTACCTCGCCTGGTGTACAGGAGGTCGTGGGTTTGATCCCGACCCAGACGCCTGCTGCTGTATATCTGGAGTTTGCGTGTCTCTCTCTCATCATCATCATCACGGTGGCTAGGAGATGTTGACTACCTCGCCTGGTTTGCAGGAGGTCGTGGGTTTGATCCAGACCCAGACGCCTGCTGCTGTATATCTGGAGTTTGCGTGTCTCTCTCTCATCATCATCACGGTGGCTAGGAGATGTTAACTCCCTTGCCTGGTATTCGGGAGGTCGTGGGTTTGATTCCGACCAAGACGCCTGCTGCTGTATATTTGGAGTTTGCGTGTCTCTCTCTCTCATCATCATCACGGTGGCTAGGAGATGTTGACTACCTCGCCTGGTGTACAGGAGGTCGTGGGTTCGATCCCGACCCAGACGCCTGCTGCTGTATATCTGGAGTTTGCGTGTCTCTCTCTCTCATCATCATCACGGTGGCTAGGAGATGTTGACTACCTCGCCTGGTGTACAGGAGGTCGTGGGTTTGATCCAGACCCAGACGCCTGCTGCTGTATATCTGGAGTTTGCGTGTCTCTCTCATCATCATCACGGTGGCTAGGAGATGTTAACTACCTCGCCTCGTGTGCAGGAGGTCGTGGGTTTGATCCCGTCCCAGACGCCTGCTGCTGTATATCTGGAGTTGCGTGTGATCCCGGTAGTCATGCGGGTTTCTCTCCGGGTCCTCCAGTGTTTCCCCTCCACGTTTAGAAACACGGGTTTAGAGGATTTGGCTGCTATAATTTCAACATGATAAGCCACTTCGTTGAGCTATGTGATGACCCGGTCGCTTCTGAAAAAGAGCTACCATGTAGCTCACTCGGGCCTTTCCTGATAAAAACACATTCCTGCGGAGGGAGCTGGTAGGAACACGTTGGGTTGCTCGGTCAATGGCCTGCAGGGTCAACGGCGGCGTGGTGTATTCCGCAAATATGCCCGACTGTGAGGGCGGGCACAAGCCGGCGTGAGTAGGTTAAACGTTGAGTTTCATAAGGGCACCACGGGGTGACCAGCCCCTCCCCACCCACTCCCCACCCAGCCCCACCCTCCCCACCCAGCCCCACCCTCCCCACCCAGCCCCTCCCCACCCTCCCCTCTCCACCCAGCCCGACCCCTCCCATTTTTGGATGCACGACGGACGGACGGACACAATAATCCCCTGTGGGCTGGTGGAACCAGGTGGTTCCTACCAGTAAAATCATGAGCTGTCTCTGTGTGTGTGTTGTCTGTCTCATTAACCCCGTGTCTATGTCCGCTTGTGTAGTCTATCACGAGCTACGTCTTTGTGTGCGCGCGTGTGTTGTCATGCCTGTCTCAGTAACCCCGTGTCTGTGTGTGTAGTCTATCATGAGCGACGTCTTTGTGTGCGTGTGTGTGTCATGCCTGTCTCGGTAACCCCGTGTCTGTGTCTTTGCTCAGCCGTTGCAGGGGTCATCGGGGCTGTACCACCGGAGCGTGAGCGTACCGACCGGACCGGGAGGACCCTTATCCCCGCCGGAGCCATCGCGCCCACGCCATGGCCCCTTCCAGAGACAGGCCTCCTTGGCTCAGTCCATCCGAAGGTGCCGTCCGATTCCTTCTGCCGGACATCCGCTCGTCTGTCGCGGCCCTCGCGGGGTGCCGGCTGTCTTGTGCCAACTCCAAACTCGAAGCGCAGTTTCTTTCTTCTTGGTTCTTTCGGTAAAGTCACGTAGAAGGGAAATAATAAAATAGAAAATATAAAACATAATAAAATAATTCTCACGACGTTTCGGCCACAACGCAAGCAGCCGTCCTCAGGTGAAGACCAGGTCTGTCGGGGAGACAGCGTCTGAATGAAACACCACCACGCTTGGAGCGTATATTTAAGCTGGGTTGGAAGGGGAAGAGCGCCTTGACAAAATAATTTGCATATCAAGAGGAATTTAGCATATTTATGGGAAATGCAGGTATGTGATTAGTACTACTTGTGAAATGCGTAGGAGGTTTGGCGGGGGGTTTAAAGTCATTATGCCCGTGCATTATGCAGGATTAGCAGCATCAAAGGGAGGGGATAGGGGTAGCATTAATAAAGGGAAGGAATGTTAATAGTATGTAGCTGCAGTAACTAAACAACCACGTAAGTTACAGCAGCAGAGGTTAGTGCATTTACAGCAGCAGAGGTTAGCGCAGTTTCTTTTTTGAACCAGGCAAGGCCCGCTGAACTACGTAGCTGTTTTTCCAAAGGGACTTGGCGATCACAAACGATAGCTCAACGAAGTGGCTTGTCATCGCTTGGAGATTCATAGCAGCCAAATAACTCCGAGCCAGAGGTCGCAAACGGGTTTTGATTCCTTACCCGTACCCGTATCCGGCCGCACCAGGGTCGCAAACGGGTACCGGTACCCGTACCCGGCTGGGTACGGGTAGCCGGGTATCAGGTAGGGTACGGGTATCGGGTATCCGATTGCGACCTCTGGGAAGAAGCCATGTTGCAGGCGCGGGTGGGTTGATTCTAGGAACTTGAATTGTGAGAAGAGAAAAGACGTTGGGAAATGAGTGACAAACGGTGACTCACCAGTGACTCACGGTCTACCCGTACCCGGCCGCACCAGGGTCGCAAACGGCTACCCGTACCCGGCCGGGTACGGGTAGCCAGGTATCGGGTAGGGTACGGGTATCGGGTACCCGGTTGCGATCTCTGCTCTGAGCGCACGTCGATTCTAAATGTGTCGGGGAAAAACCAGGGGACCTCTGGTCCCCAAGCGTTCTCGTTGAGAAGGCTTGCGAAATGTGGAGCCATCTTCTTGGTTCTTTCGGTAAAGTCACATAGAAGGGAAATAATAAAATAATAAAAATATAAAACAATAAAATTCTCACGACGTTTCGACTGCAACGCAAGCAATCATCATCAGGTGTGACAACCACAGCAAGATTTTTTTTCCAAAATTATCAGAAAATTTTTCCAATTCTTTTTGAGAATTTTATTGGTTTATTTTTATTCTTTTATTATTTGCTTTCTACGTGACCTTACCGAACAAACAGTCTAGTTTTTGGTTTAAATTTCGTGACTGCAGGGATTCATCTTCTTGGTTCTTTCGGTAAAGTCACGTAAAATGGAAAAAATTAAATAAAAAATAAATAAAAATTAAAACGTAATAAAATAATTCTCACGACGTTTCGGCCACAACGCAAGCAGCCGTCCTCAGGTCGAGAACAGGTCTGTCGAGAGGACAGAGGACGGCTGCTTGCGTTGTGGCCGAAACGTCGTGAGAATTATTTTATTACGTTTTTATTATTTTATTCTTATAACATTTCACGTGACCTTACCGAAACAAACGGTCTAGTTTTGGTTTAGTTTGCTCCGCTCGGCTCGGGGAGAGATTGAATCGCTGACCGGCATCGGCGTGCCGCAGGGGGACGGCTGTGTGGTTCGGGGTGGACAAGGAGGGCGGCCCTGTGTCGCGCCAGCAGCGATGGCACCAGCGGAGCCTCCGCCACTGCAGCCAACGCTACGGACGCCTCAAGCCGGAGGTGCTGCGCGACCTGGAGCAGCCGAGCGGCAGCGAGCTGGGTTCCTTCGGCGGCATGGAAGTTCCCGCGCAGCAGATGCAGCGCATGCACAGGGTACGTACGCGTGCTAATCAGAGGTGCGGGGGAAGAATGTCTGATTGTGGGTCTCTGCGTGAGTCTATGGGTCTCTGTAGTGAGTCTATGGGTCTCTGTGTGAGTCTATGGGTCTCTGTAGTGAGTCTATGGGTCTCTGTGTGAGTCTGTGTGTCTCTGTAGTGAGTCTATGGGTCTCTGTGTGAGTCTATGGGTCTTTGTCTGATTCTATGGGTCTCTGCGTGAGTCTATGGGTCTATGTGTGAGTCTATGGGTCTCTGTGTTAGTTTATAGGTATCTGTGTGAGTCTATGGGTCTGCGTGAGTCTATGGGTCTTTGTGTGAGTCTATGGGTCTCTGGGTGAGTCTATGGGTCTTTGTGTGAGTCTATCGGTCTCTGTGTGAGTCTATGGGTCTCTGTGATTCTATGGGTATCTGTGTGAGTCTATGGATCTCCGCGTGAGTTTATGGGTCTATGTGTGAGTCTGTGTGTTTCTGTGTGAGTTTGTGTGTCTCTGTATGAGTTTATGGATCTCTGTAGTGAGTCTATGGGTCTCTGTGTGAGTCAATGGGTCTCTGCGTGAGTCTATGGGTCTTTGTGTGAGTCTATGGGTCTCTGTGTTGAACTTTGCATCTTTGTTCACGGCGATGAGCGTCGCTGCGCCACGAAACCCTACGACGCGCGTTTTCGATTCCCGCTCTCGGCTCGGCGATTGTCCGAACCGGTCCCGGGCCTCCCCTAGGTCGACTCGGCCTCGAATGAACGTGACGCCCCCACAGGTGGTGGACCCGCTGGCGCGAGGCCGTCAGTTCCGAGCGCCGGACGCGGAGTCGGAGGGCCTGCACGTGCCGTTCACCCCGCGCACCCCGCTGTCGCCCCGCACGCCGGGAGGCATTTCCCACGCCTCCTTCACCAGCTCGCGCTCCGCTATCGGCCGCATGCCCACGCGGCGCAAGCGCGAGTCCGTCGCCAAGATGAGCTTCAGGGCTGCGGCGCTGCTCGTGCGGGTGAGAGCAGTTCTGCCAGCGACAACCTCGGTCCCTACACCACTGAACCATAGCCCCTTACACCAGTGTGTTTACCGATGCCACCGCCGTGGTCTCAACTCCGAACGCGCCGATTGCGAATGTGCGTGTGAGCAGGGCCGCTCGCTGAGGGAGGCCAACCTCCTGCGGCCCCAGCTTGGCCGCCAAAGCTTCCCCAAGGCGAGCTTTGCCGAAGACGACACGGCCGACGAAGACCCAGACACCTCCTTCTTTAGCAAGGTGAGAGCTCCGGCTTGCTGGGAGGAGAGATCCTCACACGCCACGCCACGCGTGTCACCCACGCCACACACACACACACGGCGCATGTGCCACGCACACACAGGCCACGCACACACACATGTCACACACACACACACACATGCCACATACACACAAGACACACACACGCCACGCGCGTCACACACGTCACACACACACGTCGCATGTGCCACGCACACACAAGCCACACACACACACGTCACCCATGCCACGCACATATACGCCACACACACACCACACGCCACACGCGTCACCCACTCCACACACACACACGTCACCCATGCCACGCACATATACGCCACACACACACCACACGCCACACGCGTCACCCACTCCACACACACACACGTCACACATGCCACGCACACACACGCCACGCACACACATGCCACATATACACAAGACACACACACGCCACATACACACACGCCACGCACCCATACCAAACACACCATACACAACACACACAACACACACACACCAATACCACACATACACACCGCACACACAAACCAGGGTACCTGCTCATAGCCTGCTCATAGCCAACACCGTTGACGATGATTTCAACCAGGCCTGGGCCTCCCCTAGCCTTAAACGAGTACCTGGTGCGATGTGTACACGTAGACACTTGGGGAGACAAAGGCGGCCGGGCGTGGTGCTGGCCACCCACCCCCTCGTGTGTCGTGCTGGCCTTCATAGGTGCTCGCTAACAGCACTTGCCCCTACAGTCTGTTACAGGCTACACGGGGGATCTTTGTCTATCTTTGTGCGCGTGTGTGTGTGCACGTGTGTTTGCACGTGTGTGTGTGTGTGCGCGCGTGTGTGCGTGTGTGTGCACGTGTGTGCGTGTGTGTGTGTGCGTGTGTGCGCGTGTGTGTGTGCGTGTGTGCGCGTGTGTGTGCGCGCGTGTTTGTGTGTGTGTGCGCGTGTTTGTGTGTGTGTGCGCGTGTTTGTGTGTGTGTGTGCGTGTGTGTGTATGTGCGCGTGTGTGTATGTGTGTGTGCGCGTGTGTGTGTGCGCGTGTGTGTGCGTGTGTGCACGTGTGCGTGTGTGTGTACGTGTGTGTGTGTGTGTGTGCGCGTGCGGTGCGATGCTGCCCGGCGCCAGTACGGCGCGTTTTACGAGGACGTCACCCTGCCAGACGAGGTGTTCGAGTCTCCGCCCGACTCGGCCGTTCCCCAGGGGGCTCCCGCGGGTGCCCTCCCCAGCGCAGACGCGGCCAAGCAGGCGGTCAAGCCGCCCGTCCTGTACGTTCAGTCCCAGGGGCCGTGCCCCTCTGGCCCTACGCGAAACACGGGGGGGGGGCGGGTGGGTGAGGGGGGGGGGGTCACAATAGCTAAGGTTGCTGGCAGCGGTGAGAGGCCAGCGCTGCGCCGTTATTGTGATTTTGCAATGTTTTATAATAATAACACTGGTCAACACACTTTTTCTGGCATAAGGTATTCCAACGGTTTTAAGGTTATTTTGGGGTGCTGATTCCAAATCTGGCATCAGTTTTTGTCTATCAGGTTTTTGAGATATCAAATACTGCATTTTCAATAAAAACTGCAGAAGAAAAATATTAAATAAATGTGGATATCTACATAAACTGATATTATAAACACACTATCCTAAAAATACAGCACCATATTTTATCACTAAAGCAGTCACTGACTCGCAACAACTTGCAATCATAAGTGACAGAGTTAATTTCGGGTAAAATCAATGAAAATGGGGTATGCCGATAGCATAAAAATGAGATGTGATAGAGCAAATCTGAGATCAGATTTGGAATCGGCACCCTGAAATTAGTCTAGAACAGCTGCAAAAGTCCAGGCCAGAAAAAAATGTTTTTTTTTTGTTGACCGCTGTGAAAAAAAAAAGTGTCACGTTGACAAAAGACAAATAGTTCACTACTTTAGCCCACCGGTGTGTTGAAGAGTGAAACCACAACATTTACAATGTTTGAGTAGCACGACGTTTCGCTGGTAATTACATCCAGCAATCATCGTGCAATTTTCCAGAATAGTGAGGCCCCCCTTCAACTATTCTAACCCAACAACGTTTATTATGAATAATATTGGTCGCGAAAGCTTACGTGTTAAACTTATAATAATAACAATTTCGTATTGCGTCATTCATGCAAATTGCATCTCACAACGCTGCACACCAATTAGCCAGTCCCTTACACGTGCAATTAAGGTCGTGGAAGCAACTTCTGGAACCCGGTCTTTATTTGCCTTTCTTTTAAAACATTCCTTCGCGCTGCTGACAGACAGCGTGAGAACGAACGGAGGGTGAGGCCACGCTGGAGAGGGGTCCAGGCTGCCACGTGGTCCAGGCTGCCACGTGGTCCAGGCTGCCACGTGGTCCAGGCTGCCACGTGGTCCAGGCTGCCACGTGGCCACGCGTGTCTCTCTCTCCCTCTCACGCTGTCTGACAGTAAGATAGGAGTGTTGTAAAAGATGATACAAAAAATTAACCCGTAAAAACAAAGTTTTTCACTATAAATACTTTATATGCGTGGCGGCTAGAGTCCTCTGGCTTGTGATGGCTGCCACCTATGGGTCAGATGATTGTCTGGCAGCATTAAGCAATTGGTAATTAAATATTTTTTTTTTCCCCTAAACAGTGTAAAATTTAGGAATTTTTTTTTCACGAAAATGCATTGTCACGCACAACGAGTCTGTGTGCAAAATGTCAGCTCGATTGGATCACAGGAAGTGGGTTAAAAAACGACCGAAAGATTTGCACGGTCCTAAGCAAGCAAGCAAGTGAACTTAATATAAAGGATTTAATAAGTATAACCCGTAAAAACAAAGTTTTTCACTCTAAATCCTTTATATGTGTGGCGGCTAGAGTCCTCTCGTCCTCTGGCTTGAGATGGCTGCCACCTATGGGTCAGATGATTGTCTGCCAGTATTAAGCAATTGGTAATTAAATATTTAATTTGTTTTCCCTAAACAGTGTAAAATTTTGGAAAAAAAAATTCACGAACATTAATTGTCTCGCACAACGAGTCTGTGTGCAAAATGTCAGCTCGATTGGATCACGGGAAGTGGGTTAAAAAACGATCGAAAGATTTGCACGGTCCTAAGCAAGCAAGCAAGTGAACTTAATATAAAGGATTTAAAAACAAAATCCCCAACTGCTTAGCAGGCTTTTGTAAATCCACTGCTGGATGAAGGCCTTCCCCACGTGGTCTCTCCGTCATCGTCGTCACCATCACGACGACGGTTGTTTGACCCGTGCTTCACCGCGCTGGTCAGATTTCGCGTGCCGGGACCAGGACCGGTTTCAGATTTCGCGTGCCACCGACGATTACACCGTGGCCGCTGTTATACGATGAAATCGGGACATCCGTCAAAATCTTTCGTGGCGTTGTGGGTCGTGAACCTGAGCTTAATTGTGTCGATTCAGCTCGGTCGATCCGGCAGTCGCTCAAAGTTGATCGGTCAGCCATCTTAAAAATGTTGATTCGTCGGCAATTTATTCATTGGCAAGCAATGCTTGGATCGAGTAGTCATGTGACACGTCCCCCAACCCCCCATTCATTTGAATGGCTAATATCAGCAAGATCGGTGATTCCGTCGCACTCCGCTTTTATAGTACCACAGCGCACCACCGGCACATGTGAGCCGTGCCAGCGCGGTGGCCGGGGCGGGGGGGAGGATGACCGGCACGGCACAGGTGGTTTTCCACTGGCTACTTGCCGAGTCGAGCCGGAGCCAAAACATGACACTCTGCTCTCAACGTATTTATCCACGATCCTTTGTGTGCTTTCTTACGTTTGCTGTGTCCCCTGCCTGTACACCCCCCCTCTCGCACATCCCTTGATTCCGAATCTGCCGTAGGCCCATGGCTGTGGGCTGGCGTAAGGAAACTCCGGGCGGAAAAAGTTTTACAAAACTTGGCGTCGGCGACCCTTCTCACCGCTTGCAGCAAGATGTTGTACCGGGCCTCGCTTTCCAGGTGCGGTCGGGGCGGTTGGTGCGGTTTGGTTGGTGAGGTTGGGTTGATCAGGGTGGTTGGGGTGGTTGGTGCGGTTGGGTTGGTGAAGTTGGGTTGATCAGGGTGGTTGGGGTGGTTGGTGCGGTTGGGTTGGGGAGGTTGGGTTGATCAGGGTGGTTGAGGTGGTTGGTGCGGTTGGGTTGGTGAAGTTGGGTTGATCAGGGTGGTTGAGGTGGTTGGTGCGGTTGGGTTGGGGAGGTTGGGTTGATCAGGGTGGTTGGGGTGGTTGGTGCGGTTGGGTTGGGGAAGTTGGGTTGATCAGGGTGGTTGGGGTGGTTGGTGCGGTTGGGTTGGGGAAGTTGGGTTGATCAGGGTGGTTGAGGTGGTTGGTGCGGTCTGGGCGGTTCATGCGGTCTGGGTGGTTGGGTTGGGTTTGGGAGGTTGGGTCAATTAGGGTGGTTGGGGTGGTTGAGGTGGTTCGTGCGGTCTGGGTGGTTGGGTTGGGTTTGGGAGGTTGGGTCAATCAGGGTGGTTGAAGTGGTTGAAGTGGTTGAAGTGGTTGGTGTGGTTGGGTTGGGGAGTTTGGGTGGGTTTGATAGGTTGGGTCAATCAGGGTGGTTGGGGCGGTGGGGGCGGTGGGTGCGGTTTGTGCGGTGGGGGCGGTGGGTGCGGTTTGTGCGGTGGGGGCGGTGGGTGCGGTTTGTGCGGTGGGGGCGGTGGGGGCGGTGGAGGCGGTTGGTGCGGTGGATGCGGTTGGGGCGGTTGGGTTGATTGGGGCAGCCGGTGTCGTTTGGATTGTTGGTGCCATTGGGTCAATTGGGGCGATTGAGGATGTTGGTGCGGTTAGCGCATGACCGAGAAACAGTGGGGATGGGTGGCGGGGAGAATGGAGCTTGACCTCTGGATTGCAAGTCCGGCTTGCTGACCTCTACACCGCAGCAGCAGCATCGGCATCCCTCGCATCACTTCCCGACGTTCCACCTCCGCGCAGGCGAAACGCGGCCACAAGCTGGACCCGAAGCTGCGCCGCCTGGTGCAGCGCAGCGCCAAGCGCAAGTACGGCCTGGGCGTCGTGGGAAAATGGCTCAACCGCAAGTACCGCACCCGGCGGCTGGACAGCTACGTGCAGCGCCAGATCGACGACATGGTTGACCACCGGTGAGTGGGTGGGTGGTGGTGCCAGCGCGCGCGCGCGGTATCGTTCGCGTTTCGTTGACGAAATCGGCGACACGTATCCCTCGACTGGGAGACAGCGAATTATCGGCAGGCGCGTGACGGTGACGGCAAACTGAAGCTACGTGAAGTGACGTGACGTGACGTGTAGTATATTGTTGGTTCTTTCGGTAAAGTCACGTAGAAGGGAAATAATAAAATAATAAAAATATAAAACAATAAAAACTCTCACGACGTTTCGACTGCAACACAAGCAACCGTCATCAGGTGTGAAATCCACGGTGACGTGTAGTGGCGGTGACGTGACATGTAGTTATATTCTTGGTTCTTTCGGTAAAGTCACGTAGAAGGGAAATAATAAAATAACGAAATAATAAAAATTCTCACGACGTTTCGGCTGCAACACAAGCAACCGTCATCAGCTGTGAAATCCACGGTGACGTGTAGTGGCGGTGACGTGACGTGAAGTGACGAACGGAGACGCGGGCGCTTGGATAATCGAGCGATGCGATCGGAAACCCGACTTTGATTCCCACTCGCGGCCTCCCACCCCCTCGTGCGCCCGTGCCAAACCTTCACAGGTGCTCGCTAACGCAAAGCCTGGCGGTGGCCATACGGGCGGTGACCTTTGTCCGCGTGTGTGTCCCGGCAGGCCGTATTTCACCTACTGGCTGACGTCCGTGCACGTGCTCATCACGCTGCTCTCCGTGTGCATCTACGGCATCGCCCCCATCGGCTTCGCGCAGCACGAGGAGCAGGAGAGCGTGAGTAGCGCGCTAACTGCTCCACTCCCGCACCACGCGCCACGCGCACGAAGCACGCCAACAAAACACAACGATTCCCCCGTGTCGCCTTGACAGACTGTAGGGGCAAGTGCTGTTAGCGAGCACCTATGAAGGCCAGAACGGCACACGAGGGGGTGGGTGGCCAGCACCACACCCAGCCACCTTTGTCTCCAACGGTGGCGATGTTTACACAGCGCACCAGGTACTCGTTTGAGGCTGAGTCGACCTAAAGGAGGCCCAGGACCGGTTCAGATAATCGTCACTGGTGTTGGCCGTGAGCGGGAATCGAACTCGTGTCGCCGGGTTCATAGCGCAGCGCGCTAACCGCTGCACCACCGCTCCCCACTATACACACACATATACACAGACACACATACAAAGACACACACTCACACATATCAACAACAACAACAACAACCGCCATTCGCCACTAAGTGGCTGTGACGTCACCACGACGCTTGTGCCAGGCCAAGTGCACCTCGAGGCCACGTGAAGTGTCGAACGCCCGCTGGCATATACACATATACACAGACACACATACAAAGACACACACTCACAAATATCAACAACAACAACAACCGCCATTCGCCAATAAGTGGCGAATGCTTAAGGGTGGGTGTGGGGGGGACGGGCATACAAAAAATCTGTTGGCGGTGCGGGGAGCGAGCGAGCGAACGTGCGCGGGGCCCTTCCCCCATCCCTCATCTCGCGGTTCGGGCACCGGCTCTGGCTCAAGCCGACTCGTCTGATTGCGCTGCCGGTGTGTGCCGCTGCCCGCTGTGTGCCGCCGCAGGTGTTGAGGAACAAGGGCGTGTACGAGATCGTAAAGTACGTGCAGCAGGAGAACTTCTGGATCGGCCCCAGCTCGGTACGGGCGCGCCGCGGCCGCCGGCTCGTTGAACGCCGCGATCTGCGCGCGACGCGCCGAGAGGCGTCGCGTCGGGGAGAGATGGCAGTCCCGGCGCCCGCACGCGCTCTGCCGCCTTGCGGACACGCGCGTGTGTGGCCCACGTTGTGTGTGTGTGTGCGTACAGCATGCATGTTGAGCTTCTTTCGCGCCGTACGTAGCCAATCGGAGAGGTACAGGAGGTCTCGATTGAAAGCTTTAGTGACTGCAGGGATTCATCTTCGTGGTTCTTTCGGTAAAGTCACGTAGAAGGGAAGTAATGAAATGATAAAAATAAAACATCATAAAATACAATTCCCTTCCTTAGGCCCCTCCCCTCTCCGTACCCTGCAGTAGGTCTCCACCAATCAAAGAGCTGTCTGTATTATATATTTATTTATGCACGACAGACAGACAGTCAGACAGACAAATAATCCCTGGTGGGCAGTGTGGAACATTGTTCCTACCTGTATTATTGCTTCGTTAACCCATCACTGCCCTACGTACGGCCAATTAGCGGGGTTTGCCACGTAAACAAAAACCGTGCCAGCTACTTAACTTCAGGTGGTGTGTGTGGCGTGCTGGAGAGAGCAAACCCAACAACGTTTACAATTCGAAACGGCCGCCACGTTTCGCTGGCGATTACAGCAACCAGCTGTCACCGGGCGGTTTTGCCAGAATTGCCTATCGTACCACCTTCACCCCCCGCGTACCCACGCGTGCGTTCCCCGTCGCGTGCTCAGGACGATCTCATCCACCTGGGCGCCAAGTTCTCCCCGTGCATGCGGAGAGACGCTCAGGTGAGCGCTCGCATCGCCCAGGAGCGCAGCCGCGAGAACGTCACCGGCTGCTGCGTCCGCAACGACGGCTCGGGCTGCGTGCAGATGGTGCGAGAAGACTGCTCGGTGAGGACGGCAACAACAACAACAACGACAGCAACAACAACAACAACGACAACTCAACAGGGATAAGACGTGTGGTGTTGAAGCTTGTGGGGGAAAGCGCTTTTGCCGCGCAGGAACGAAGGGCTGAAGTTTAATCCCTTACTCCCCCCCCCCCCCCCACACACCCCACCCACATCCGAGGCTCAGGTTCCTCTAAGCCAGGGGTCGGGAACCTTTTTGCCTGGGAGAGCCGTAAAAGCCAAATATTTCTAAATATATTTCATTGAGAGCCATATAGTATTTGTAACGTATAATAAATTAAATATGTCTTACTTTTAATGCGACTTCTGGCGCTGCGTGGTTTTGCTGATGGCCTTGTAGTCTGGTTCGTACGACGTGGTGAGGTTGAGCTTCGTGCAGGCGTGACCCGTGAAATTTATCTTCAAAACTAATTTCTGTTTACTTTAAAATGACACAAATATTATTAAGTAATATCACAAGTATTTTAAAATCAGTTCCAAAGTGATTTTTTATTATTTATTTTTCTAAATTGTCTGGGAGCCATATGCCGTCACTGGAAGAGCCATGTATGGCTCGCCAGCCATATATGGCTCGCCAGCCATATATGGCTCGCGAGCCATAGGTTCCCGACCGCTGCTCTAAGCCGTGGTAATAATATTAGTGGAGTAGTTGTGGGCTTTCACCACCGACATTATGCATGACCACGCCGGTCGCACGCGGCTTGCGTTGCTTCGCTGCGGTCCCGTCAAGCCCATGTCATACTCCCGTCCATCGACAACTTGAGCAGCACGTTTCATTTAAATTGTGCGTGGCGTGTGTGCGTGGTGTGTGTGTGTGTATGTATGTTGAACCTCTTTCGCGCGCCGTACGTAGCTAATTGGAGGTGCGGGGGAAGGACGACAAATTATGGTGTGCGTGTGATGTGTGGCACGCGTGTGGTGTGTGCGTGATGGCGTGTCTGGTGTGTGTGTGCGGTGGCATGTGTGTGGTGATGTGTGTGTGAGTGCGCGTGCGTGGCGTGTGTGACGTGAATGTGTGTGGTATGTGTAGTGTGTGTAGTGTGTATGGGGTGTGGTGTATGTGGTGCGTGTGTGCGTTGCCCATGGCATGTGGTGTACGCGTGGTGCGCTATACGCGGTGTATGCGGTGCGTGGCTGTGATTCGACAGGAGACGCTTTCCACGTGGATTAAGTGGCCCAGGTACAACCCTCCGGCGCTGCAGGGAAGCCCCCGCACGTCCGGCGCCGTGTGTGGACAGCAACCAGAGTACGGCACGCGACGGTGCACGCTCACTCAGTCACCCCACACACACGCTCACGCACACACATACACACACGCTCACACTCACCCACGCACACACACGCGCGCACGCACGCACACCCCACACACGCACACGCTCACCCACACACACACGCACACACACACACACACCGCTACCCAGTCACCCCACACACACACGCACACACATACACACACTCACCCACGCACACACACACACACTCACTCAGTCACCCCACACACACGCACACACACACACACACCGCTACCCAGTCACCCCACACACACACTCACACACACACGCTCACCCCACACACACACGCTCACCCCACACACACACTCACCTCACACACATACACGCTCACCCCACACACACACACGCTTACCCACGCACACACACACGCACTCACCCCACACACACACTCACCCACACACACCACCGCTACCCAGTCACCCCACAGACACGCTGACCCCACACACACACACACACGCTCACCCACGCACACCTCAATGTCTCCCTGTCTGTGGATCTCAGTGTCTCTGTCTCTCCGTGTGTCTATCTCAGTGGCTCTTGTCCATTGATCTTGGTGTCTCTAACTCTGTCTGTCTGTCCATGTCTCTTGCAGACTGTGTGAGGAACCAGCCTCGACTCCACCGCACGAATGGCCTGATGACATCACCAAGTGGCCTGTAAGTGGACACCCGCCAACACGTGTGTGTGTACACGTGTGTACACACACACGTGTACACACACACCCGCCAACACGTGTGTGTGTACACACACACGTGTACACACACACGCACACATGTACACACACACAACAACAACAACCGCCATTCGCCACTAAGTGGCGGTGACGTCACCACGACGCTTGTGCGCACACACACACGTGTGTACACACACACACACACATGTATACACACACACACGTGTGTACACACACAGACGCGTGTACACACACACACGTGTACACACACACACACACACGTGTACACACACACGTGTGTGTGTGTGTACACACACACACATGTACACACACACACGTGCGCACACACACACGTGTGTGTGCACACACACACGTGTGTGCACACACACACGTGTACACACACACACGTACACACACACGTGCGCACACACACACGTGTGTACACACACACACACACGTGTACACACACACACGTGTGCACACACACACGTGTACACACACACACATGTACACACACACACACGTGTACACACACACGTGTACACACACACACACGTGCGCGCACACACACACGTACACACACACACACGTGCGCACACACACGTGTACACACACACACGTGTACACACACACACACACGCGCGCACCGACACATACACACATGTGTACACACACACACACACGTGTACACACACACACGTGTGTACACACACACGTGCGCACCGACACACACACACACACACGTGCGTACACACACTTGACAAAGATCCTCCTGGTAGCCTTAACAGACTGTAGGGGCAAGTGCTGTTAGCGCGCAGCACCTATGAAGGCCGGCACGGCACACGAGGGGGTGGGTGGCCAGCACCACGCCCTCCCGCTTTTATCTCCCAAGTGGAAATGTTTACGCACCGCACCAGGTACTCATTTGAACCCCGGGACCAGTTCAGATAATCGTCACTGCTGTTTGTGGCTGTGGCCAGGAATCGAACTTGGGTGGCAGGGTTCGTAGCGCAGCGTGCTGAATGCTGCACCACCGCTCCCCTTGTACATTCAGTTCAGTTTATTTATTTAGGTGTAGCCCTGTGAGCCACGTGGCTCTTGACTCGGGTGCAACCGCAACAAACAAAAACATGAACAAGAAACATCTTCAAGTGACTACGCGCAAACAGAAAAATCCAGGAAAAACTGCAAAGTCTTCCAGAAAAAGCACCGTTTATCAACGCTGTGTACAAAAATCCCAGTGGGATGCAAGTCAAATAATAACCATAAGACAATTTAGATTAAAGTTATCAGTCTAACTTTGTACAACAAATAAATATGGCTAAATTTTGATTTAAAGCTTTCGTGACTGCAGGGATTCATCTTCTTGGTTCTTTCGGTAAAGTGACGTAGAAGGGAAATAATAAAAGAATAAAAATAAAACAATAAAATAATTCTCACGACGTTTCCTCTTGATATGCAAATTCCTTTGTCAAGGCGCTCTTCCCCCTCCAACCCAGCTTAAATATACACTGCCAAGCCTGGTGGTGTTCAATCGGACGCTGTCTTTCCGACAGACCTGTTCTTCACCTGAAGACGGCTGCTTGCGTTGTGGCCGAAACGTCGTGAGAATTATTGTATTTTATTATCTTTTATTTTTATTATTTTATTATTTCCCTTCTACGTGACTTTACCGAAAGAACCAAGAAATATGGCTAAACCGAAACGTTTTCGAAATCACCAAAATAAAGCTATAAAAACAACGTAACAGTGATCATAGAAACTGTGATTCAAATTTAACAATAAACGATATATACATAAACATGCACGACCAAACTTTGCAGCCATAGCTGGCAGCATGAGTCACTCCATAACAGCAGCAGGAGTATCAGTAGGAGTATCAACATTTTTCAATGCACCTTTCAATGCACACACACACACACGTACGTGCGTTAATGTAAATGTGTCGGTAAACCCGCAACCACTAGACACAGCCAATTAGTAAACTTTGTCACGTAAACAGAACGTGCCAATTCGTTACTAGTACAGCACACCGGTTGCGTGATGGAGAGTAAAACCACTACGTTTACAATTGGAGTATCGTGTCGTTTCACCAGTAATTACAACAACAACAACAACCAACGTCATCAGGTGACAGCCACAGATTCTACCAGGTTTAGTTTTTTTTTCACACTTTTGTTATGTAGGCTAGGCGTTAGTCACAAACCGCACCTCTCCATAACAAAGGCTCAGCCTTTTGTTATGCAGTCTATTCTTAGTCTTAAGCCTCACTTTGCCATATTAATAAAAAGCGTGCCGTACTTGGCCCTTCCCCACTCTCCAACCATTATATAAACGGAGTGGTAGCTCTTGTAATCTCTCATTTACTTGATACAGCTATCGTGGCTGTGACGGTTCCACCTGAAGACGGAAGCTTGTGTTGCCTCCGAAACGTCGTGATTTTTATTTTATTTAACTTTTATTAATTTAATTTTTTTTACCTACGTGACTTTACCGAAAAAACCTAAGAGTATGACAGCCACAGAGTTGTGGAGAAATCTTTGACGGCGTTGCGTAGACTCATGTTCGCGCACAAATTCACGGACAAAGATGTCAATGAATGAATTTCGATGTAAAGCTTCTTTCGTGACTGCAGGGATTCATCTTCTTGGTTCTTTCGGTAAAGTCACGTAGAATGGAAACAATAAAAATAATAAAATAAAACATAATAAAATTATTTTCACGACGTTTCGGCCACAACGCAAGCAGCCGTCCTCAGGTGAAGAAACAGGTCTTGCTGGTCACCCCATTCTACGTGACTTTACCGAAAGAACCAAGAAGATGTATGAATGAATGAACTTGCATGGATATCGCGCGACGAACACACTTCACTCACTCACACCCTTCAGAACAAGTGGAGAACACACAAACTTCACTCACTCACACGCTGCAGAACAAGTAGAGAGAGAACACACAAACTCCACTCACTCGCACGCTGCAGAACATTGGGATAGAACACACAAACTCCACTCACACTCTGCAGAACAGGGGGATAGAACACACAAACTCCACTCACTCACACCCTACAGATACGTGGACAGCGAGTACAAACTCTAAACACAGAGTCGCGCGCGTCACCGACTGCCGTCGTTACCGCGCCCTGCCGCGAATCTCCCCCCCCCCCCCCCCATTTCCCGTCTCCCCTCCGCATTGCAGATCTGCACTAAGAAGTCGGGCGCGAACAGGACAAGCGTCACGCACATGGACTGCACGGTGACCGGCCACCCTTGCTGCATCGGAACCAAGGGCAGGCGAGTGAATTGGCCAGTCGGTCGCGATGTCGGTGCGACCGCAGGGAGCTAACATACGCGCTCGCTAAGTCTGTGTGGCTTACGGGAGGAGGGGCGTGGGGCAGGTTGGCTTTGTGTCTGTGTGTGTTTGGGGGGGGGGGAGCGGTGGCCGGATCGAGGGGGGCTAAACGGGCGCGGCACGGGCTAGAGAAGAGATGGAGTGATGTGGTACAGGAGGACGTGGAGCTGAGTGGACTTGCCGATGACCGGTACCAGCGGTGTCAAGATCGGCCTCTGTGGAGGAGGAGGCTCGTGAAGGACGCTACTGGGCAGTTGGAGGTAGTCGCCCTCCAACAACAACGGAGGGCGGAGGAGCGACGCTCACAACAACGAGCGGAGCGCCGGGTGGCTAAAGCACAGCAAATTGGCACAGTGGCACAGGTGGTGCATCAGCCAGTCATCTCGGTCATCTCAGTCAGTCGACCCGTGGCACCTGCTGGGTCTGCCCCGTGACCTCCTGCCAGCGGGCGTTCGACACTTCACGTGGCCTCAAGGTGCACGTGGCCTGGCACAAGCGTCGTGGTGACGTCACCGCCACTGAGTGGCAAATGGCGGTTGTTGTTGTTGTTGCGGTGGTGGTGTAACGTTTAGCGCTACGAACCCCCGCTCACGGCCAACATCGATGGCGAATATCCGAACCGGTCCTGGGCGTCCCCTAGGTCGCTTTGGCCTCAAATGAGCACCTGGCGCGGTGGTGTGTGAACATCTCCACTCGGGAGACAAAGTGCGTCCGGGCGTGATGCTGGCCACCCCCACCGCCTTGTGTGCAGTGCCGGCCCTCATAGGTTCTGCTACTCGCTAACAGCATCTTCTTGGTTCTTTCGGTAAAGTCACGTAGAAGGGAAGTAATACAATAATACAAATAAAACATAATAAAATATGTTATATTTTTATTATTTTATTATTATTGGTTCTTTCGGTAAAGTCACGTAGAAGGGAAGTAATAAAAGAATAAAAATAAAACATAATGCAATATCTTCTTGGTTCTTTCGGTAAAGTTACGTGACTTTACCGAAAGAACCAAGAAGATGAAACCCTGCAGTCACGAAAGCTTTAAATCGAAATGTAATATTTTATTATGTTTTATTTTTATTATTTTATTAGTAATACAATAATAAAGTAATACAATAATAAAAATAAAACATAATAAAACATAATAAAATATTTTTATTTTTATTATTTTATTACTTCCCTTCTACGTGATGACTTTACCGAAAGAACCAAGAAGATGAATCCCTGCAGTCACGAAAGCTTTAAATCGCTAACAGCACTTTGCCCCAAACAGTCTGTCAAGGCTACCACGGGGGAATCATCTTTTGTCCTCTGTCTTCCCGCAGCTGTGAGATCACATCGCGCGAGTACTGCGTTTTCATGCATGGACATTTCCACGAATCGGCGACGCTCTGCTCCCAGGCAAGTTTCATCGTCCCTGCCCTTCCGTCGCCTGGCCAAGGATGGGGGGGGGGGTGGCCCCCCAGTGGCCCCCCAGTGGCCCCCCAAAGTGGCCACTGTCCCCCCACGCAGCCCCCACGTGCGGTGTTTGTTTGCCGTGCGCGTAATCCCATGTTCTTGGTTCTTTCGGTAAAGTCACGTAGAATGGGAAGTAATAAAATAAAAAAAATAAAACATGATAAAATAATTCTCACGACGTTTCGGCCACAACGCAAGTAGCTGTCTCCTCGACAGACCTGGTTTTCCACCTGAGGACGGCTGCTTGCGTTGTGGCCGAAACGTCGTGAGAGTTATTTTGTTATGTTTTATTTTTATTGTTTTATTACTTCCCTTCTACGTGACTTTACCGAAAGAACCAAGAAGATGAATCCCTGCAGTCACGAAAGCTTTAAAATTATTTTATGTTTTATTTTTATTATTTTATTATTTCCCTTCTACGTGACTTTACCGAAAGAATCAAGAAGATGAATCCCTGCAGTCACGAAAGCTTTAAAATTATTTTATGTTTTATTTTTATTATTTTATTATTTCCCTCCCACGTGACTTTACCGAAAGAACCAAGAAGATGAATCCCTGCAGTCACGAAAGCTTTAAAATTATTTTATGTTTTATTTTTATTATTTTATTATTTCCCTCCCACGTGACTTTACCGAAAGAATCAAGAAGATGAATCCCTGCAGTCACGAAAGCTTTAAACGCGTAATCCCAATCGAGTAATTTTACGGATGCATTTGTTGACGACGTTACGATTCGTGTTTTGCGAATGGGAGAGCCGAAAGCTGCATGTTAAGATGCTGTTGTTCTTGTTTGTGTGGCTTCTTGCAGGTGCACTGCATGGATGATGTGTGTGGACTCCTGCCCTTCCTCAACCCCGAGGTCCCAGACCAGTTCTACAGACTCTGGCTCTCGCTCTTCCTGCACGCCGGGTACACTTTTTTGAACCACAATACCACTCGTCAAGCAGCATATCAACCATGAACCATGCCGACATCGGTCATCCTCGCAGCGACGGCTTTCGGCTGGCCATCGAACAAAGACGGTCACCGCATCGTGCCCCTTCTGCGGCCGTCTGGAATGCTCTTCTATTAGAAGACACTGGGAGCTATGCAATTTTAAATCTGTGTCCCCCGTGTGTCCCCCGTGTCCCACCCTGTGTCCCACCCCGTGTCCCACCCCGCGTGACACCCCGTGTCCCACCCCGCGTGACACCCCGTGTCCCACCCCGCGTGTCACCCCGTGTCCCACCCCGCGTGTCCCCCCGTGTCCCACCCCGCGTGACACCCCGTGTCCCACCCCGCGTGTCCCCCCGTGTCCCACCCCGCGTGTCCCCCGTGTCCCACCCCGCGTGACACCCTGTGTCCCACCCCGTGTGACACCCCGTGTCCCACCCCGCGTGACACCCCGTGTCCCACCCCGCGTGTCCCCCGTGTCCCACCCCGTGTGTCCCCCCGTGTCCCACCCCGCGTGACACCCCGTGTCCCACCCCGCGTGTCCCCCCGTGTCCCACCCCGCGTGACCCCCCGTGTCCCACCCCGCGTGTCCCCCGTGTCCCACCCCGCGTGACACCCCGTGTCCCACCCCGCGTGTCCCCCGTGTCCCACCCCGCGTGACACCCGTGTCCCACCCCGCGTGTCCCCCGTGTCCCACCCCGCGTGACACCCGTGTCCCACCCCGCGTGACACCCCGTGTCCCACCCCCGCGTGTCCCCCGTGTCCCACCCCGCGTGACACCCCGTGTCCACCCCGCGTGTCCCCCGTGTCCCACCCCGTGTGACACCCCGTGTCCCACCCCGCGTGGACACCCGTGTCCCACCCCGCGTGACACCCCGTGTCCCACCCCGCGTGTCCCCCGTGTCCCACCCCGCGTGACACCCCGTGTCCCACCCCGCGTGTCCCCCGTGTCCCACCCCATGTGACACCCCGCGTCCCACCCCGCGTGACACCCGTGTCCCCACCCCGCGTGACACCCCGTGTCCCACCCCGCGTGTCCCCCCGTGTCCCACCCCGCGTGACACCCCGTGTCCCACCCCGTGTGTCCCCCGTGTCCCACCCCGCGTGACACCCCGTGTCCCACCCCGCGTGTCCCCCGTGTCCCACCCCGCGTGACACCCGTGTCCACCCCCGCGTGACACCCCGTGTCCCACCCCGCGTGTCCCCCCGGTGTCCCACCCCGCGTGACACCCCGTGTCCCACCCCGCGTGACACCCCGTGTCCCACCCCGCGTGACACCCGCGTCCCACCCCGCGTGACACCCGTGTCCCACCCCGCGTGACACCCCGTGTCCCACCCCGCGTGTCCCCCCGTGTCCCACCCCGCGTGGCACCCCGTGTCCCACCCCGTGTGTCCCCCGTGTCCCACCCCGCGTGACACCCCGTGTCCCACCCCGCGTGTCCCCCGTGTCCCACCCCGCGTGACACCCGTGTCCCACCCCGCGTGTCCCCCGTGTCCCACCCCGCGTGACACCCGTGTCCCACCCCGCGTGACACCCCGTGTCCCACCCCGCGTGTCCCCCGTGTCCCACCCCGCGTGACACCCCGTGTCCCACCCCGCGTGTCCCCCAGGGTGCTGCACTGTTTGGTGTCGGCGGTCTTCCAGATGACGGTGATGCGTGACCTGGAGAAGCTGGGCGGCTGGGCGCGCATCGCCATTATCTACCTGCTCAGCGGCATCACCGGCAACCTCGCCTCGGCCGTCTTCGTGCCGTACCGAGCCGAGGTTCGGCACGCTTCCCTCCACTTGACGTTCCTCGCTTAGGGGGGGGTGGTGGGGGGTGGTTGGTGGGGGGCTGGTGGGGGGTAGGATGACTGAGTCGGGAAGAGGGTGATGCGGGTGTATGAATGTATGTGCGTTGAACAGTTCCCCCCTCCAACCCAGCTTAAATAGACGCTCTAAATCTGGGGTGTGTCATTCAGACTCTGTCTTCTCGACAGACGTGGTCTCCACGTGAGGACGGCTGCTTGCGTTGTGGCCGAAACGTCTTCTTGGTTCTTTCGGTAAAGTCACGTAGAAGGGAAGTAATAAATAATAAAAATAAAACATATTTTATTATTTCTGCCACAACGCAAGCAGCCGTCCTCAGGCGAAGAACAGCTGTCTTGCGTTGTGGCCGAAACGTCGTGAGAATTATTTTATTATGTTTTATCTTTATTATTTTATTATTTCCCTTCTACGTGACTTTACCGAAAGAACCAAGAAGATGAATCCCTGCAGTCACGAAAGCTTTAAATCGAAAGACACATTTATATTTACGCGATCTAACTCCAAAAAACCTCTAGTGGCATAAACATGAGACAACTTTTAAAGCCATTCCCCGCGTTTAGTGCGCATGCCGTACAACACGTTTGGATTTGACACGAGTAAAGTTGACTTACAAACAGACCTCTGGAACCTAACTCCTCGTTCGTAAGCAGAGGGAGTCCCTTTAATTGCCCCCAGCAGGACACTCTTGCAAATGACGCTCGGCCTCGCCTCTTGAGTTCTCTCTCACACCTGCTTATTAAACGAAACGAAAACCGACAGAAACCAAACCCGCTCGCGAATGAAAAAAACCGACGTTCTACTCGGCTACGAATCGGCCAAACGGAAAGCACCGATCCCCGTGCCATGAGACCCCCTCCACCAACACCCCCCCCCTCCACCCCTCTCCCCGTGTGGAATCGGGACAGCGTCCTTGCGTAACCCGTGCGCCAGAGGTCGCAACCGGGTACCCGATACCCGTACCCTACCCGATACCCGGCTACCCGTACCCAGCCGGGTACAGGTACCCGTTTGCGACCCTGGTGCGGCCGGGTACGGGTACGGGTAGGCCGTGAGTCACTGGTGAGTCACCGTTTGTCACTCATTTCCCAACGTCTTGTCTCTTCTCACAATTCAAGTTCCTAGAATCAACCCACCCGCGCCTGCAACATGGCTTCATCCCAGAGGTCGCAATCGGGTACCCGTACCCTACCGGTACCCGGCCGGGTACGGGTAGCCGGGTTTCGGGTAGGGTACGGGTACCCGATTGCGACCCTGGTGCGGCCGGGTACGGGTAAGGAATCAAAACCAGTTTGCGACCTCTGCCGTGCGCCCGCCATTCTCCGCCCGCCGCAGGTGGGTCCAGCCGGTGCCCAGTTCGGCCTGCTGGCGTGCCTCTTCGTGGAGCTGCTGCAGAGCTGGCAGCTGTTGGCGAGTCCCGGTTGGGCGCTGGCGAAGCTGCTCGCCATCCTCGTCATCCTGCTGGCGTTCGGCCTGCTGCCGTGGATCGACAACTTTGCGCAGATGTCCGGCTTCGTGGCGGGCCTGCTGCTGTCCTTCACCTTCCTGCCGTACATAGCGTTCGGGCGCGCCGACCGCTACCGCAAGCGCGTGCAGATCATCGGCTCTGCGCTCGCTTTCGCCGGCCTCTTCGCAGGCCTGATCCTCGCCTTCTACATCTACCCCATAAACTGCACCTGGTGCGAATACCTCACCTGCATCCCCTTCACCGACGAGTTCTGCGAGAAGTACGAACTGGAAGGGCACATCCACTAGGCCGGCCGGCAACGCCCGCGGCCGTCGCGAACCTCTCGCGTTTTCGCCGGAGCGCGATGGGGCGTCACGATTTTTACCGTCATCTTTGCCGTTACGGCGGAGGAGGAGGCGTCCACCAGGAGTCGGGGAGGGGGGCGACAGCCGACGATGTCGTGCAAGGAGGGCGCCGGTTTCTTCCCGTCACGGAGGCAGACGCGCTGCTGCGTTTGTCTTCGCCGCCGCTACCGGAGTGTAGCCGCAACTCAAACTAAAACTACGAAACTGTGTTTTATTTTAGCAGCTCTAGGGCGCACCGAGCTATGTAGCCGTTTTTTTTTTTCAGAAGGGACCTCGCCACGAATTATAGCCTAAGGAAGTGTGTTTTTGTTGTTGTTGTTTTCGCGTGGACATTTATAGCAGCCAAATACTCTGAAACGCGTTTGTATGTTAGTTCTAAATGTGGAAGGGAAAAGCGGAGGAGCCTCAGGAAATCCACGCGACCACGTGGAGAGAGAGAGAGAGAACACGCAAACTCCAAACATACAGCAGGTGTCGGGGTCGAAGCCACGACCTCCTGCATACCAGGCGAGGTAGTTAACATCTAAACAGAATTGCGTCTACCATGAGATCAGTCACCGATTTCCATCCGGAGGATCCGTACTCGCCAAATCATTATCCTCGCTGCAATCGGCGGCGCCACATTTTTTTTTCGTTTCAAAAGTTTGAAACAAACAAAATAACTCGCAAACAATCCACAGATGCCGTGCGTCAAATTCCAGCGAGTCTTACGGAAGCAGCAACGACTCAAGGTGTCACCTGCTCCCCCCCCCCATGTGAATTTCAACTTTCAAGGGGCTCTTCCATGCAGGGCATTCATTGCAGGGTATCCATTGGCGGCAAGGTGATGCCGAGTGTGGTTGCGCCGACGGCTGTACGCGTCGGAGGTAGGGGGGGCGCACACTGGATTTTGTTGAAATAATTTACTGTACCGGGCAGCGGGTGTCAGATGCTGTCGAAATTCACTCCAGCCCGAAATTGAGCCGCCGATGACTTTTGTGGTCGGGGGGCGGGGGGGAGCACATGACCGCGGGGCGTGGCTGTCGAATCGCTGTCGATTTTTGCCACGTGGAGCGATCCGCGACCGTGTGCTGTCTTGCCGTGTAATTGCGTCGCATGCTTCGGTGTGAAAATCGCGCGGCAGTTTAAAAAAAAAAATGGCCCCGTGGCGCGGATTTAGTTGTAACGAAATCAGTGGATATATATTCACTGCCGACAATTGTTTCTTATTATTTTTCGGTCATATATTTTTTCATCTTCGTTATTTTCGTCAAAAGTCACCGAAGCGTCGTCGACGACGACGACGACTTTGGGAGCCGGCAAACCGAGTGCCACCGGCGCGTGTGACCCGACCGTGACAAGACCAGACTTAGGAGCCTGAATGATAAAGACGCAGCCTTTAGATTACACTGGTCAACACACTTTTTCTGGTCTTAGGTGCTGATTCCAAATCTGGCATCAGTTTTTGTCCATCACATCAGGTTTTTGAGATATCAAATATTACATTTTCAATAAAAACTGCAGAAGTAAAAAATTAAATAAATGTGGATATCTACATAAACTGATATTATAAACACACTATCCTAAAAATACAGCACCGTATTTTAGCACTAAAGCAGTCACTGACTCGCAACAATTTGCAATCATAAGTGACAGAGTTAACTTCGGGTAAAATCAATGAAAACGGGGTATGCCGATAGCATAAAAATGAGATGTGATAGAGCAAATCTGAGATCAGATTTGGAATCAGCACCCTGAAATTAGTCTAGATCAGCTGCAAAAGTCCAGGCCAGAATTTTTTTTTGTTGTTGACCAGTGTTATTTGATGTTGCCAGAGGCCGCCACAGTGAGCCGATGAAGACCCAAACAAGTCGATTAACTTTGTATTTTAAACAATTTACTGAGCTCACCACGCTGGCGAGATGTTTATCTCCCTCGCGTGGTATACAGGAGTTCGTGGGTTCCATCCTGAGCCTTGGGCCTGTGCATTTGGAGTTTGCATGTTCTCCGTGTGGGAACTCCAGCTTTTCTCTCCACGTTTAGAAACATTGCATTTCGTTTAGTTGGCTGCTATAAATGTTCCCCATGTGATAAGCCGCTTCGTCTGGATAATGTGGCCAGGTCGCTTCCAAAGAAAAACAGCTCTCAGCTCGGTGGGACTTAGCTGCTAAAATAAAACAAGATTTGCTGGGCTGACCTGATGTTGGAGGGAGCGGGCCAAGCCCTTACACCATCTTAGTGACAAAGATTTGACTGCGTTTATGACCGATGATGAAATCCACACTAAAGGATTAACATTTCCGCAGCTTACAAAAATAACGATTAGGAGCAGTTATTGCCCCTTTGAGCAAATTATGGAGCGTAGGGCGATCGCGAAAGAAGCCACTGCCGCCAGTTTGGCAACGATTCTTTGCCGTTGTGTAATCCCGATTGATTGATGTGCGGGTCGTTTTCTTTGTTGACAATTTGGCAAGAATTGGACCGTGACGACGCGGGGGCCTTTAACTACCCGTTGTGACATCCACAGCACTGCCAACGACGCACAGGACTTCATGGCGGATGCACGCGCCGCGGTATTAACCAGGGCGGGCTGCCGGATTGGAAACCACGAAACCTCCACACAGCCAGTCGTTGAACGAATGTTGTGGTCGATTAGACCTTATAAACAACAACAAAATGCTGATTGAAATGGACACTGGGTCCTCTGCAAGTCCAAGCTGATCCATGAGAGGGGTCCTCTTTTGAGACTAACTTTTGCTGTTGATTTCGATTTAAAGCTTTCGTGACTGCAGGGATTCATCTTCTTGGTTCTTTCGGTAAAGTCACGTAGAAGGGAAGTAATAAAATAATACAAATAAAACATAATAAAATAATTCTCACGACGTTTCGGCCACAGACCTGGTTTTCACCTGAGGACGGCTGCTTGCGTTGTGGCTGAAACGTCGTGAGAATTGTTTTATTATGTTTTTTTTATTTTTATTTTATTACTTCCCTTCTACGTGACTTTACCGAAAGAACCAACAATATTTTGCTGTTGATATTTAGTCCGACGATTTGCATTATATTCGCTCGAACCTGTGCAAGTGCGCGCGCGTTTTCCCTTGGTCCGAGTACAAGGGTGTAAGATAGTACAATTTTCTTGTTACCCTAGCAATATGCGGGATATGACAATCAACTATTTAAACGTCCACTTTATACTGAAAAGATTTTTGCGCGGAGAGAAAGTGCGACGGGTTAGAAAAAAGTACTTTATTCTGTTGCCAAACCAGGTACTTAGTGAGCGTTGTGATGCAATCAATACTTTTTTGAGTAGCTGCGTTTGCCTGTAAGACGAGTTGTAAACACACACACACGCGCACAATAAGATGGCAGGACAAAGAACTGAGATGAGGGGTTATCCCTCCACTTACTGTATTATTCACGCACTGTATCCGGGTTTATACGGAGAATTCCCGCACGGCTAGGCAGCGCACCTCAAGAAAGTTCAGCATCAACGTCTGCCCCCTCAGGGACCGTGCCATTACGGTCGCGCGCGGCGTTCCGCTACTTAGAAAAAGTGTTCACGAATAGGTGACCCGCGTTGTATCGTGGACACGCGTTAAGCGAGGACTTGCTGTACTTTCACGGGCCGCGCTACTGCTGTTCAACAACACCGAGGATGCTGCCTTTCGTTTCGTTCTACGGTGCAGGTTTTCACCGCTGCTTTCCAATGTTTTTTTCCCCTCCTCCCCCTCCGTGTGTTGCGCGACGTTTCTAACTCCACCAGCCGAGAGCTTCAGGAGATTGCGGCGCGGTGCTACGTCTTTTCACAAACGTCCGTGGCCTTATTACTGCCGTTGAAGGCTTTGTGGCCTCGGGTTGGCGGCAGCCTTTGGGTTCTGTCGTCGTGAGTCTCAGGTCTGGCATGGTCCTCGACAATACATTTCTGCACCGGGCAAAAACCCGCGTCCACTGTGTGACTCTGTCTCGCTATTGCTGTGCCTTCCGCAAAGTCGCACACCCCACAGACGCTGGTCCACCAGCGGACCTGCAAAATATGAACGAGACAAATTTCGATTTAAAGCTTGTTTCGTGACTGCAGGGATTCATCTTCTTGGTTCTTTCGGTAAAGTCACGTAGAAGGGAAGTAATGAAATAATAAAAATAAAACATAATAAAATAATTCTCACGACGTAGAATGGAAATAATAAAATAAAACGTACTAAAATAATTCTCACGACGTTTCGGCCACAACGCAAGCAGCCGTCCTCAGGTGAAGAACAGGTCTGTTGAGAAGACAGTCTGAATGACACACCCCAGGCTTGGAGCCTCTATTTAAGCTGGGAGGGAGGAGGAAGAGTGCCTTATTTCCCTTCTACGTGACTTTACCGAAAGAACCAAGAAGATGAATCCCTGCAGTCACGAAAGCTTTAAATCGAAATTCTCACGACGTTTCGGCTGCTTGCGTTGTGGCCGAAACGTCGTGAGAATGATTTAATGTTTTATTTTTATTATTTCCCTTCTACGTGACTTTACCGAAAGAACAAATAATTATTCTTTGGTTCTTTCGGTTAAGTCACGTCTAAAGATAAAATAATAAATTAAATAATAGCATATTACGACATTTCGATTGCAACACAAGCAATCATCATCAGGCATAAAAGAAATAGCAACAAAAATCTAACTAGAAAACTGCTTGTATGTCTGTCCATAGTTTTCTAGTTAGATTTTTTGTTGCTATTTCTTTTATGCCTGATGATGATTGCTTGTGTTGCAATCGAAACGTCGTAATATGCTAGTATTTAATTTATTATTTTATCTTTAGACGTGACTTAACCGAAAGAACCAAAGAATAATTCCTGCAGTCACGAAAGCTCCAAAATTAAGAAAGAACAAAGAAGATGAACGAGATATTCATCTTGCAACGATGGTATTGACTTTAAAAAATTCATATGCCACTCGCTTAAATGCCTTGGCAACTCGAAGCGCCTTCCCGTCACGTCTCATATCGAGTCTTCAAAGGGACACCCTCTCCAACCCCCCCCACATGGCAGCTGTCCCTGTGTGGCACAATGTGAACACAGCACTTGGCCTGCCAGTTGGGGGCGATTGCAGCGTGTAAACCCCCCCAAGTTGAGTAACTGCAATTCATTAAGACTTCTAACCAGAGGATCCTGATGTATCAGCAGTTTTGGCCGCTTTGATTATTATTGCACCCGGAAAGATACCTCAAGTGCCTGGAGAAAGCCCCAAAAACTGTCCCCCCCCCCCCAACCCGCTGCCTTTGCTGTGATGCCACTGTTCTCAGCGTACGCGCCGCTGCAAGGATAGTGCCGGAGAAGATGCTTGCGGTCCACTGCCGTTACGTCACCGCACACATTGACACAGCCGCGCGTGCTGGGTGGGGTGGTGGCGGGGGTGACCCCATCTCCCGTGGCGCAGCACGCCGACCCACAGTGCGTGAGTCCAGAGGGGCCGGGTTCGAATCCCGGTGGTTGGTGGCCGTGAAGCAGGAATCGAAGTGGGTTCGACACGCACACACACACGCGCTAACACGACACGCACAAGCGCTAACACGACACGCACACACACACGCGCTAACACGACACGCACACACACACGCGCTAACACGACACGCACACACACACGCGCTAACACGACACGCACACGCGCTAACACGACACGCACACGCGCTAACACGACACGCACACGCGCTAACACGACACGCACACGCGCTAACACGACACGCACACGCGCTAACACGACACGCACACACACACACGCGCTAACACGACACGCACACGCGCTAACACGACACGCACACACACACGCGCAACACGAACGCAACACGCGCTAACACGACACGCACCAGCACACGCGCTAACACGCCACCGCACACACACCACACGCGCTAACACGACACGCACACACGCTAACACGACACGCGCACACACAAACGCGCTAACACGACACGCACACACGCTAACACGACACGCACACACACGCGCTAACACGACACGCACACACACACACGCGCTAACACGACACGCACAGACCGCTAACACGACACGCACACGCGCTAACACGACACGCACATGCGCTAACACGACACGCACACACACGCGCGCTAACACGACACGCACACACACACGCGCTAACACGACACGCACACACACACACGCGCTAACACGGCACGCACACACACACGCGCTAACACGGCACGCACACACACGCGCTAACACGACACGCGCTAACACGACACGCACACACACACGCGCTAACACGACACGCACACGCGCTAACACAACACGCACACGCACACGCGCTAACACGACACGCACACACGCTAACACGACACGCGCACACACACACGCGCTAACACGACACGCACACACGCTAACACGACACGCACACACACACGCGCTAACACGACACGCACACACACACACGCGCTAACACGACACGCACACGCGCTAACACGACACGCACACGCACACGCGCTAACACGACACGCACATGCGCTAACACGACACGCACACACACGCGCGCTAACACGACACGCACACACACACGCGCTAACACGACACGCACACACACACACGCGCTAACACGGCACGCACACACACACTCGCGCTAACACGGACACGCACACACACACGCGCTAACACGACACGCACACACACACGCGCTAACACGACACGCACACACACACGCGCTAACACGACACGCACACACACACGCGCTAACACGACACGCACACACACACGCGCTAACACGACACGCACACACACACACGCGCTAACACGACACGCACACACACACACGCGCTAACACGACACGCACACACACACGCGCTAACACGACACACACGCGCTAACACGGCACGCACACACACGCGCTAACACGACACGCACACACACACGCGCTAACACGACACGCACACACACACGCGCTAACACGGCACGCACACACACACGCGCTAACACGACACGCACACACACACGCGCTAACACGACACGCACACACACACGCGCTAACACAACACGCACACACACACACGCGCTAACACGACACGCACACACACACGCGCTAACACAACATGCACACACACACACGCGCTAACACGACACGCACACACACACACGCGCTAACACGGCACGCACACACACACACGCGCTAACACGACACGCACACACACACGCGCTAACACGACACGCACACACACACGCGCTAACACAACACGCACACACACACACGCGCTAACACGACACGCACACACACACGCGCTAACACGACACGCACACACACACACGCGCTAACACGGCACGCACACACACACACGCGCTAACACGACACGCACACACACACGCGCTAACACGACACGCACACACACGCGCTAACACGACACGCACGCACACACACGCGCTAACACGACACGCACACACACACACGCGCTAACACGGCACGCACACACACACACGCGCTAACACGACACGCACACACACACACGCGCTATCACGACACGCACACACACACACGCGCTAACACGGCACGCACACACACGCGCTAACACGGCACGCACACACACACACGCGCTAACACGACACGCACACACACACACACACACGCGCTAACACGACACGCACACACACACACGCGCTAACACGACACGCACACACACACGCGCTAACACGACACGCACACACACGCGCGCTAACACGACACGCACACACACGCGCGCTAACACGACACGCACACACACGCGCGCTAACACGACACGCGCTAACACGACACGCACACACGCGCTAACACGACACACACACACGCGCTAACACGACACACACACACGCGCTAACACGCATCTTCAGCATTACAAAAAGACAGAGATCCCCCGTGTAGCCTTAACAGACTGTCGGGGCAAGTGCTGTTGGCAAGCACCTACGAAGGCTGACACGTGATACGAGAGGGTGGGTGGCCAGCACCACGCCCGACCGCCTTTGTCTCCCTAAAGACGATGTTTACACACCGCACCAGGTGCTCATTTGAGGCCGAGCGGACCTAGGGGAGGCCCAAGACCCGTTCAGATAATCGTCACTGGTGTTGGCTGTGAGCAGGAATTGAACTCGTGTCACCAGGTTCGTAGCGCAGCGCGCTAACTGCTACACGACCGTTCCTTAGTATCACGCCAGAGGTCGCAAACGGGTTTTGATTCCTTACCCGTACCCGGCCGCACCAGGGTCGCAAACGGGTACCCGTACCCTACCCGATACCCGGCTACCCGTACCCGGCCGGGTACGGGTAGCCGGGTATCGTGTACCTGATTGCGACCTCTGGGATGAAGCCATGTTGCAGGCGCGGGTGGGTTGACTCTAGGAACTTGAATTGTGAGAAGAGACAAGACGTTGGGAAATGAGTGACAAACGGTTACTCACCAGTGACTCACGGCCTACCCGTACCCGGCCGGACTAGGGTCGCAAACGGGTACCAGTACCCATACCCCAGGGGTCGGCACCCAAAATAACAAGAAGAGCCATTTCTTTCCAATTCGGTACAAAATTCAGTATTTCAAGAGCCGCAATGCATCTGAGTACATACGTACTCATCGTCAAGAAGCAGCCCGTAAAAAGCCGCATGCGGCTCCGGAGCCGTAGGTTGCCGACCCCTGCCATACCCGATACCCGGCTACCCGTACCCGGCCGTGTATCGGGTAGGGTACGGGTATCGGGTAGGGTACGGGTATCGGGTACCTGATTGCGACCTCTGGGATGAAGCCATGTTGCAGGCGCGGGTGGGTTGATTCTAGGAACTTGAATTGTGAGAAGAGACAAGACGTTGGGAAATTAGTGACAAACGGTGACTCACCAGTGACTCACGGCCTTCTCACTCAATGGTTGGGGTGAGTCACGTGTGGCTACCCGTACCCGGCCGCACCAGGGTCGCAAACGGCTACCCGTACCCAGCTGGGTACGGGTAGCCGGGTATCGGGTAGGGTACGGGTACCGGCTACCCGATTGCGACCTCTGTCATACGCACGCACGCACGACAACTCGCGACACCACCAACCCCAGGGCAGTTTCTCTCGCTACTTCTTGAACTGCGGTGCCCTGCCTCCACCGCCTCCACCAAACCCGCCCCTGGCGCCACGCTTGACCACCGGTCTCCCACCGCCTCCTCCGGCAGCGGCGGCTGCGGCCAGCACGTCGGCGTACGGCGCGTGCACGAACTCGTGCAGGCGCCGCGCGGCTCCCTCCCCGCCCAGCAGTTCGGCGAGCTCGCCAACGCTCAGCCGCGCCAGCTGGGCCAGCGAGCCGGCGCGGCGCGCCACGGCCCGGCAGCAGCGCGCCGTCACGCCGGGCAGACGCAGGAGAAGGTCGTAGGGGCCGGGGTTGAACGCCGAAGCGTCGGGGTCGGGGTCGGGGTCACCGCTGTTGGGGTCACCGTCGGCTTCGGCCGGGGCGGTGGGCTCGGCATGGCCGACCTTGAGCTCGCAGAAGAGCTGAGCGGCGGCGTGCGGCGAGGCGCACCACAGCAAGCGCAGGCGGGGAAAGTGGAGCGTGAGCAGCGCCAGGCGGGAGCACACGTCGGTGGAGGAGATCTCCTGTTGGCGGAGGGGGGGAGGGGTGGCGATGAGGAGTTGGCAAGCGCGGTGGGGTCACAACTGTTCTCACAAAGATTCCCCCGTGTAGCCTTTAACAGGCTGTTGGGGCAAGTGCTGTTAGCGAGCAGCAGCTATGAAGGCCGGCACGGCACACGAAGGGGGTGGGTGGCCAACACCACGCCCGGCCGCCTTTGTCGCCCCAAGTGCCGATGTTTACACACGGCACCAGGGTACTCATTTGAGGCTGAGCCGACCTAGGGGAGGCCTAGGACCGGGTCAGATAATTGTCACCGGTGTTGGCCGTGAGCGGGAATCGAACCCGGGTCGTCAGGTTCCCTAGCGCCAAGCGCTACACTACTTGCATGCATGCGTGTCCGCGTGTGTGTGTGTGTCCGCGTGTGTGTGTGTCTGCGTGTGTGTGTGTGTCCGCGTGTGTGTGTGTGTCCGCGTGTGTGCGCGCGTGTGTGTGTGTGCGCGTGTGTGTGTGTGTCCGCGTGTGTGTGTGCATGCGTGTGTGTGTGTGTGTCCGGGTGTGTGTATGTCCGCGTGTGCACGTGTACACGCCCGCGTGTGTGTGCGCGTGTGTGTGCGCGCGCACGCGCGTGTGTGCATGTGTGTGTGTGTCCGTGCACGTGTGTGCGTGCCCGCCCGCGTCACCTGGTACATGGTGCCCCCGCTGCGCGCCTGCAGCGAGAACGGCTTGCCCGGGTCGAACTCGATGAGCAGCGCGGGGCGGCGGTAGCGGCGGCACATG